CATGCATACAAACAGGAAAGCTACAGTTTCTGATTGCTGTATCTGTGAGGCAGAGTGAAGGAAACCACTAATCCAACTGCAGACTGACCACAAATCAAAAGCAGCTCTCTAATGTCCTACCTGTTTACACAGGAAACCAATCTATTTGTACTATGTACAATTTAAAACACACTTTACTTGTGGCTTGCTTCTGTGTTTTTTTAGACTAAAATGAACACAAGTGTCTATGGTTTCACTACCTAGTGCCTAGCAGGGGAAGCCTGCAGCCTCATGCAGGTCGACAAACTAAAAACTCAGCTCCAGTCCAATTTGCTACAGGTTTCCCCGAGGAGAGAGAAGCAGTGTTGATTTTGGCACACCCTCCCAGAACCAGCGAACAAATCCTGCCTTTTTTTCCAGAAGAGTTGGCTCAGGAACTCACTGGAGAGCTAGGAAAGAAGAGGAAGAAGGAGGGGGAGAAAGGGCAGAGAGAGGGGCGAAAAACAGCCCCAGGGCTGGAGTGAGATATTGTATGCATGTGCACTCAAGCACACGGTTTGTGGCCAGCTGCTTAAGGATTTTTCTGAGGAGTCAAGATATCCACAGAGTGAATGGAGTGAGGTAGAAAGACAGAGAGAGAGAGGCTGCTTATGCCAGTATTACTCGGGTCTGCTACTGGGGTAACAGATAGACATTATCTGCACTGTTTTAACACAATCTGTAGTATAAGGTAAACAACTTTTTGTGAGACTTAGCAGAATACACCGTGATAAACCTTTACAGTCCAACTTCACCAACCTCAAGGGACCAAGAACTCACCTCAGATTTTCTATGTTATTCCCTTTAACACTTATAAGCTCCAAATCACTATCCGTCATTTTCTTTTATTTCATTCTAAGTTTACAGATTCCTTATGGGATGCTGTTATGTTTATATAACTTGTGGTATAATTTTTTTGTATCTGCACATTGGGAAAGGCCAGGATTTTTTCTTCCTGGTTTGAAACCGAGCAGGATAAGAGCTGTTGCCAAGGTTGCAGCTCCACATTTTCACAGCCATGCTTGTCAAAGGCTGAAAGGGCTCAAGCCCTTGAAACACCTTCTGGGCAGCTCGCCCTTTCTGCATTCGACAGAAACTGCTAAAGGCGACACAGAAAAAGAGAGAGCAGCTTGGAGGATGCGAGAGGGATGAGACCAGCAGGAAGGGGGTCTGCATTTGACTGATACATCAAACCGTACCAAGCTGTGGCTGACTGAATAATTGTGAGGGACAGGCTGTGGACCCCCCTGAGCCAGAGTGCAGCCCAGAATAATACCTCTGCTTGGGGCTTCCTCTCACAGCCTTGCGCTGAGGCCTTGATGGTGGTGCCATGCAAAGCCAGTTAGCAAAGCCAATGAACAACCTAAAGTAGGCTGAGACGGCAGTACATTTTTGAAACTTTAACCCACTCTAGCTCCACCTTACACAAAACGATAGAGACATTTCACATGTCTAAGCTAAAGCTTTCCTGAAGAGATGTTTTGTGGTGCTACGCTGTGGATGGACAGCCCATTCAGGCTGTATTCAAGGGTTTTGTCAACCAAGAATTTAGATTGGAGTCTTACATGACCTTTCATAGGGGTCACTGGTTGGATCTGTTGGAGCTTTTGTTGGCACACCTGGGTGATGGAGCCTTGACAGAGCAACAGGCTCCTCTTTCAAGTTGTTTTTTTTTTGTGTGTGTGGGGCTGCTATAGGCAGAAAAAGAAACCCTACATTGAGCAAACTTGGGCAAAGGAAACAATTTTGTCGAACATATCTAATGGTTTTCATAAAAACACTAATGGAAATTAAAACACAAAAATGAACACAGACAAGAAGGAACATACTATAAATTAGTCCTTTAGTTCAGTTCTTTGCTAAATATACTGTGTACTTTTGGACATTTTCATGAAAATTACTTGTAAAAATCTTCACAATGTATGAATTTCTATTCTGTCAATGTACAAAGAAAGCTGGAAGAATTCCCTTTCACTTAGACTCATCTCCTGTTCTTATTGCTCATAATAGACTATGACAATGAATCCTAATTATACCTCATTTCAACAAAGCAAACGTGTATTTCAGTCCTCGTATACACTTCAAAACCATTTTCTGCAAAAAAATATTTTAGTTTATCATCGAATGTGTAAAAGTGAAAGAGATAATATTCAATGTAAATTTCTGTACGTTGTGACACAAATAGAGGTCTTAAAATTTATAGAGTGAGCTAAAAATGAATGAAATAAAAATAAACTAGAGTTGATCTACAGCTTTGTGGACAAAATAAAATGTTGTTTCTAATGGTTAGAGGAGAAAAGGCAAACTGATTTTTAGAACTATAAATCAGCTTTATTTTCATTACATTGGCAGCGAAATTCACTCTCTGCATTTAACCCATCCCCTTGGGGAGCAGTGGGCTGCCATTATTTGGCACCCATGGAGCAGTGCGGGGATTAAGGGTCTTGCTCAGGCAACCAGAGTGGCAATACTACATTACTACTACAGTAATACTACATTACTACCACAGCAATACTACATGATTACTGCAGTACTACTAATGGAATATTACATTACTACTAGAGCAATACTACATAATTATTGAATTGCACCTACAGCAATACTAAATCACTACTATAGCAATACTACACGATTATTGCATTACTACAACATGCTACAGGAATACTACATTACTACTACAGCAATACTACATGATTACTGCATTACTACAACAGGAATACTACATTACTAGTATAGCAATACTACATTACTGCTACAGGAATAATACATTATTACTATAGCAATACAACATTACTACTACAGCAACACCACTCCCCAGGTTTTACTGGAGTCTGCCTTAATCAGGGCTGAACCCACATCCAAAGGGTCCCAAGCAGAGATCTATTATTGTTGGGAGCTGGAGAAGTACCACCTTCCTCCAGCAGAGTCCGCCGTGGATCCTCCTGAGCTGAGCCTCCTGCACAGCTGCAGCCCATTCCATCATCAGAGGATCCACAGTACTTAAGCTGTCTTCAGACCTTGCCTCAACGCCGCAGTGTTGATCCAGTTGGTTAGCCACTACGCCTAGTGTCTCTGTAAACCTTTGTCGACTTCTGAATCCAGTCTGGATTCTAACCTTTGTCTCTGTCTTCCAGGAAACCAGTTTTTCCCCTGTGAAGCTCAGGAAGAGCTTAACCTGCCGAGCCTGCCCTCTGAGCAAAACCTGAAGCCTCTCTCTGGACTTCCATGCAGCTCAGGACCAAGAGCTGGAAACTCAAACCCAAGGTCTGCTCATTCTAAGAAGTAAGAAGCTGAAGCAGCTTACGGACTCTGCTGATCAAATCCTCTCCAGATCCAACAGTTTCCCTCTCAAGGCTTTCATCAAGAACCCTCAAGGTATAAATCAGAGACTGTCAAGAATCAAACTCCTATGCGCAACGCTAACTGAACTGTTTCTCACGCAGACTCCGGTGAACCAGTTTCCCAGGCCAGAACCAGAACCAGTCATAATCTCAGTGCTTGTGATAATAAACACTGTTAAACCTTTTACTCCTGTTTCCGTCTCAGTGGTGTTCTGCATAATTGGGTCACACCAGTGAACCCATCATGACAATTATCCTCTGTGCCAACCAACCAGCAAATTAAAACAATAGACTGCTGCATTATCAGTACATTAAATATCTACTTCTTACAAATGAGTTATGTACAGCTGGCATCCCCAAGGTCGATCCTCGAGGGCCGCTGTCCAGGCATTAGAGGTTTCTCTGCTTCTCTCTCCTCGGGGAGGTTTCTCTGCTTTAAATAAATATAAGTAAATATACTCTCATGTGTTTTCATAATGAATTATGAAATCTGATGTTGTGAAGATTCAGTTTGTGGTTGGTATGAGTTGATTTCTAAATATTTACTGCAATCTTGCAGCGTTTTCTGGCAAAAATATAATTTTGACAAATTTGAAAGGCATGCTATCTTCTAGACATTTACACACTCAGAGGCTGTGTAAATGTTCTCATTGATTATAATTGCTGCAGAGGTCACGACTGAGCAAGTTGGACTGAAACCAGGGTAAAGTAGATGAATGGCAATTCCAGCAACAACATTTAGATGGCCAGGTCAGATTTTCCAACTAACAAAGCAACTGGGCCTTGTGATGACTCCTGTCTGATCCTTCTTGAGAAGCTGCTGGCTACAGTGCATTGATGTCACTTCCTGCTCCATCTGTTGCACCAGTTTTCCTCTACCCCTGTCTGGAATGTTCAGTCTAATTGTGTATAACCAAAGCCTGGACCCCGGACTCACCTGCTGCTTCCGTTCCAGCATTCTCCTGTTAGGTGTTAGTTAGTCAATTACCCTGCAAGATATATGGTAGAATTTCTTTCCTAATAAATAAAAATGCATAAATGGATAAAAACTGCAAGTTTACTATGTACCATATCTAATCTTAGCATTCACTTAAGCAATTCTGAGCAGATGTTACCTGGATAAACAAACACAGCTGAGTTAAAGACTCCTCTCAACCACTAACTGTTGCATCCTTACCAGAAAATCTGGGAATTCTGAAAATAGCTCCAAGGCCTCTGGCATTATTGTAGGGATAGAGGTGGATGATGAAGAAAAAAAAAACAGCCAGAAGCCACAGCAGGACTTTGTCGGACCAGACTTTGTTTGGATATATTCATTCAGAGATTACACGGTTTGCTACTTGTTTTGGCTTCTTCGTGCATTGGGTGTGCTTTGCTTCTAAACCACAGAGTAATGAAAAAAAAGGGAAGTCAAATAAAGCCTGCACAATTTAAAAATGTAAAGAATAGAGTCATTTAAAAACTGTGAGTAATTCTTAGGCTGGTTGGCATTATAGTAATCACTTAAATGACACAACTAAAGACACACAAGTTGAGCTACGGTTTGTTAAAAGGGCCTTCTCTTAGAATTTTGGAAACATATCAAAAAGTATCAACAAGCTTCCATTGGAATTAGACCAAGCAGACGTTTGAGGAACTCACCGTCATTGCCTCTGTGGGTGCTGTGATCTTAAAGCAGATTTTTCAAAGCTCATCATAAAGGAAGAGTTCAGCCAGGTCAGCTCCCTTTTTGAACACCTGGCACCTGCTTTTCTCCTTTGCAAGCGGAAGCCACATCTAAAAGGAACATAAAGTCCTGATTATCCTCTTTCCTGTTTACCTTTCAGATTGAAGTAGGAGCAGTAGAAGTGTAAAACATTGCCCATCATACTTTCTACTGTCAAGACATTTCCTGTGGTCTCTGCTGATTAATCAAAGAGCTTCATCATAAAGCACTGATGTTCGCACAACCTGTCAGCGCCTCAGTGTATGATGTCTGGATACCATCACGCCCTTACAATGGTAACTGGAGTGGAACTATGCATGCAATAAAAATAAGGGTTTGCCTGCGAGCACGACGCAAGATGTAATGCAAACTAAGTTCTTTTTTTGTTATTCAACAACCAGCAAAGCATCCCGAATAAGTTCAAAGCCTCTCAGACATTTTACCAAAAAAAAGTGCTTAGATATGTGCTGATATGGGTCATGATCCCCCCAGGGCTGTGTCCTTTCCCCCTGGCTTTTCTCCCTGTACACCAACTGCTGCACCTCTAGCCATCAGTCCGTGAAACTGATCAAGTTTGCGGACGACACCACCCTCATCGGGCTCATCTCCGACGGTGATGAGTCTGCCTACAGGAGGGAGGTGGACCGGCTGGTGTCCTGGTGCAGCAGCAACAACCTGGATCTGAACACCCAAAAGACAGTGGAGATGATTGTGGACTTTAGAAAGGTCACAGCCCCACCGTCCCCCCTTGCCCTCACAGACAGCCCCACCCCCATCTCCAACGTGGAGTCCTTCCGCTTCCTGGGCACCACCATCACCCAGGACCTCAAGTGGGAGCCGACCATCAGCTCCCTCGTCAAGAAGGCCCAGCAGAGGATGTTCTTTCTGCGGCAGCTGAGGAAACTTAAGCTGCCAACCCGGATGTTGGTGCAGTTTTACACCTCCATCATTGAGTCCATCCTCACATCCTCCATCACCGTGTGGTACACTGGCGCCACCGCCAGGGACAGATACCAACTGCAGCGCATTGTGCGCTCCGCTTAGAAGGTGATCGGCTGTAAGCTGCCATCACTCCAGGACCTGTATGTCTCCAGGACCAGGAGACGTGCAGGTCGCATCACAGCCGACCCTTCTCACCCTGGACACAGACTGTTTGAACCTCTCCCCTCAGGGAGGAGGCTACGGTCCATACGGACCAGAACCTCCCGCCATAAAAACAGCTTCTTCCCCTCTGCCATAAGACTCATGAACACTATATGTCAGACTCCATAACCTGCCCATGCCATTCACACTGCTGTATTGCACACTGCTCTATTTGCACTATCTTGTACATTTTACTTTTTATATTTATCCATATTTTTATCTTAAGTGTATATATTAGTATATTTTTTGCATGCCTTATACCCTAGTGTTTTTAGAGATTTTTATAATTTTATTTACTATTTCATATATGTTTCATGTTGCACGACTGTACCACAGAAATTTCCTAGTTGTGAACCTCTTCACTAACAATGGCAATAAACCCGATTCTGATTCTGATTCTGATTCTGATGAAGAGTCATGTCTTTATCTGCATGGAGGCCAGGGATGTATATTAAGCTTTGTAAATTATATTGCAAATCCAAGAGTCCCAGTATTTATTACACAGTATAATACCTCAAAAACCTATTTTTTTATGTTTTGATTGTTATGGCTTACAGAGAATAAAAATCCTTAATTCAGAGTTTTAGAAAAAAGGAATGTTGTGGAAGACAAAGATACCCTACTGTGTTCTTCTTTTGTGTTCGAGTCAGACGAGTTTGCTGGGCACTAACACAATTCTTACTGAACCAATTTTTGGTAACTTTGGCAGTGTGGGGCGTCAAAAAATTCTACTGATAATGAAACTAGCATTTATATAATGCTTGTCAGCAGAAGGACACATAATGTGCTCTAGAAATGTCCTCGTAGATAGCTAGTTCCCCGATGACTCGGCCATTGTAGGCTGTGTTTTTGAGGGGAACGAGCTGGAGTATCCATCAGCCATCATGAACTTTGTGGACTAGTGTGAGAAGAGCCACCTGTGTCTTAACACCAATAAGAACAAAGAGATGGTGATCGACTTTAGGAGAAGACCCCCGCCTCACTCCCCCATGAATATCCAGGGGCAGGACATAGAAACTGTGGAGTTTCAAATACCTGGGTGTTCATGACAATAATAAACTGGTGTAGACTCATAACACCGACACCTTGTACAAGAAGGGCCAGAGGAGGCTGATGTCCTTTGGAGTAAGCAGGCCCCTGCTTAAAACCTTCTATGACTATGTGGTGGCATCAGCTCTCCCCTACGGTATTGTCTGCTGGGCCTCTGGCAGCGGAAAGCGGGACAGAAAGAGACAACAAAAAGGTAAGAAAGGCCGTTTCTGTCCTAGGCTGCGCTCTGGACTGAGTGGTGAAAGTGGCTGAGAGGAAAATGATGTCCAAGCTTACATCCATCATGGACAACACCTTTCACTCCCTTCCCGACTGTAAAGGAGCAGAGCAGCTCCTTCAGTGAAAGACTTTTACACTTTCAAGACTAGTTATAATCAAATAATAATGATTACACAAATTAACTTGTGATATAGACCAGGCATTTTAAATGTGCAGAAATTTGTTTGAAATTCAATTATTTTGAATTCCTTCTCAGATTTCGCAAAAGTGGCTTTTTTTTTTCTTCCTATACAGCATGCAGTTCCTATAGATTTCACTTACATGTTCATAATGCAGTAAACAGTAACTGTATTTAACTTGTCACTTCTAAACATTGGAAAAAAAAGCCCCCTACATAGGGACGTCTTTTGTTGTTATGCTTAAATGAGAATATATTAAAGCACTGGTTATTCTGCTTTATATATAACTTCTGTGGTTGGTACATAACGTCCGTGGTTGGTACTTGGAGGCTTTTCCTGTAATTCAGTTGGGAGTCCTTCATTTTTTTGGCTCTACAGAGCAGAACTAAAGAAAGTGAGGGAGTGAAAGAAGAGCCTACTATTTAGAAGGCAAAGTGTGTGGCCATGGCATCGTGTCACACCTAACCAGCAGAACCCTGTTCTAATCCAGGCGGTAAGACCAACAGGAAAAAGCTCCTTTTAGCATATCTGGGAAAGAAAAATTGCCATTTTTAGAAAGAAAGAAGTAAAAATTGGGCACCTGTAAATACACACTCACTTTAGCCTGTTTTTATCTACCGTAAAAACTCTTTCAACCCACTGACTTTAAATCTGGCCACATTTACTTGGTCTCTGCAGTTGTCAACTGGACTCATTGGCCATTTCTCAATTCACTAGAATGCGAGTACGGACTTGTGTCCTCGCCAAGTATGTTCTTGAGAAGAACACAGGAAAGTATGGACTTGGGGAGAATGGGAGCACACGGAATAAATCTTGGTCAATTGGAACAGAAGCGTACTCGTGACGTCACCACATACTCAGTCTTGAGCTACATTTCAACTTTTATTAATAGTCTCTAGATAATAATAAATTATTCTTTTTTTCATTTAGTGGTGGAATAATGATTAACACAGTCAAATAAACACAAATCAAATGAACATTTTGCCAAATAAAACAAAAAAATCATCATCATAGCCAGTGGTCCTTCACACAGGGCTATGCAGAGAGAGGGCCGCTGCAGACGGGCTGTGGTTAGCCCTGGCTGCCGTTAGCCTAGGAGGTCAGTTTATCCAAGCCAAGGACCCCCAAACTCATGGCGAAATGGAGTGGGGACCCCCTAATTATATATAGTATGAAATTGTGTTATATCAAACTGGTCCTATAGTCACTCTATTACAGATGGTGTCATGTAGCAAAGGTAATTTTGCCATGGGATTATTAAAGTATTCCTGATTTGGATTTGGACTCCTTGTTGATGGGACAGGCGTACTTTTATTGAACAACAACAACAGAAAAGACAACTTTTAACTTTCAATGGAGCGCTGGTGCTGGCGCAGTGCATGCTGGGACAGCTGTCAGTCTGGAGAATGGACATATGCGGTGCATACTCGGTAGGGAGGGGCAAGAACAACATCCGGGGACTTTGACCGTTCTCGGTCTGCTGTTCTTGTGAATTGGAACAGTACTAGGGCTGAGGCTGATGACGTTTCACGAGTACATGAGAACGCACAAGTACACATATTGAAAAACGGTCATTATTTTTGCCCATTTAGCTGTTGGACATGTTCAATTAACTGCAGGAATCTCAGATCAAGGTTCCCACAACCTTGCAAAGTAGGTAGACAAAATGTTTGTTTTTGTTTTTCTAAATCTGCTTCTCTCCCTAACCAGATACAGCCAGGAGTCTAAAAAAGTTCTGTACTTATCTGTACTTATCACACCATATAAGCTTCCTTTATTAATTCACAATCAAACTGTTATCTTTTTTATCAAACCAAAGGCTTTTTAAACTAACCTGACCAACAAGTAATTTACTTTAACAAATAAATTTGCTTAGTCTCAAATGTTTTGGTGTCCTTTACATTAAAGTGGAACGCCTACATGTTATGAATGCTGACTTACCATAAAGAATAAATTATGAACAGTTTAATTTGTGCCTTCAAGTCGACCTCCCCATAGGAAGACGCTACCTGGATATCTATAATAATATCTTCAGAACGGCTCCTAATGACACAAAACTCTTATGGGTGAGTAGAACATGATGTAATAACATAAAATCAAGGGCCCAATGTAAAAAAAAAAATGGCGTTCCCCTTTAAACCTACTGTACATCTCTGTGGTTGTTTCATATGGTTTAATTTCACCAAATATTTAGGGGGGGTCATTGGTCATAATCATTTAAATTTATTTTTCCTACCAAATATATCTTTTGCAAGGAAGAGGTTTCCCAGTTTCTGAAATTGGATTCTGGATTATAAGCAGATTGCAAGATAAAGGTGAGCAATTTGATAAGTGGCATGGTTGGTCCTTAGCTTGGAGAAGGTATGTATGTCAGCAGAAGGAGAATAGATGATGGGAGCTCAGACGAGAAGTGTTGCTGTCCATACCTTCAAGCGTTTCAGTTAAGTGCACTCACCTGTTTTTTCTTGCACGCTGACGTTTTGAAGTCAGTGTTTTCTGTTCACATTCTGTAGCTGTCACCTTGTTTTCATTCGTGGTGATAAGTACACTCATTTTCATAAAATATACATCCTTCAACATGCACCTGCCATGGCCCTTTTGGAGCTTTAGTCCCGCACAACTACAAATCATGACAAGAAGAGGGGATATTCAAATATAATTTGACATAAG